GGGCTGGCACAAGGGCAGGGACAAGTTCCAGAATGCTGGACCACCTCCATGTGGCAACAGTAACTATTTGTGGCTCCCCGAGGCTAGTCATCAAGGAACAACATGTCGCCCTCCAGGGTGCCTGGCGAAGGTGGCAGCTGCTAGGCATTTGCAGCCTGGAGCTCAGGGAAAGGAGCAGAGGGACAGGGAGGGAAGGAGGGAGCCAAGTCCTGGGCAAAGGACCACACACCAGCCAGGCTGCAGGCCTGGAGGAGAGACTGAGCACAGTGGAGAGGCCGCGGGCTGGGCTGGAAGGACGTGCATAGGCTGTGGAGTCGTGGGTCTGACGCACGGCTCAGCCACTTGTCTGCCAGGGACTTTGGACAGGCTGCTTAGCTTCTCCTCATCTCTGGCGCCTCGTCTACAAGATGACTTTCCATCTCGCAGAGAGGTTGTGCAAGGCCTGGCACACAGTAGGTGCTCCATAAATGGAACCATCGTTTTCCAAGTGAGAGGGCGCTTACAGAAAGAGAACGGTGGGAAGTTAAGTAGTCTGCTTTTGTTTGTAAATATTATTGAAGTACACATACACATAAAAAATTCCTGTACCCTCTGTGCTCAGCCAGATAAAATTTTATTGTACAAAGTGAAAACACAGATGTAACCAGCATGCCGCCATAAACCAAGCGTGACCAGCACCCCAGAAATCCACCTCTCGTCCCTCCCAGTCCTCCAAGTGGAGGGCCACTGTGCTAGCACCTGAGGTCCTGCATTTGTGCTTCCTTCGGATGGAGTGACCGGGGGGCCTCTTCCACGTCTGTCTCTCTGGGCGTGGCGCAGTGCGTGTGCGGCGCTCACCCACGCTGCTGCACGTGATCCGGGTTTGTTGGCTCTCAGGGCTCTGCTGTGTTCCGCTGTGTAAACATGCTCCCACTCACTTGTTCATTCTGTGGTCCGTGGACCTTTGGGTTGTCTTCAGCGTGGGGCTCTTAAAAACAGTGGCGCCAGGAACATTCTCATTGACGTTTTTATTGGATGGATTCAGGGTGGAATTCGTGGGTCAGAGGCCATCTGAACTCACAGCTGTCGTAGGTACCACCACGGAGCTTCCAAAGTGTCTGCATCGACACACACACTGCCGGCATCCCTGTGCACTCATGGGGGGGCCACCACTTGTTGTCTTCGCTGTTCTGGTGGGTGGGTGGTGGTGCTTTTCACTGCAGTTCTGATTTACATTGTGATGTGTAACGAGGAGGAACAACTCTTCCTACGTTTGTTGGACATTTGGGCATGGATCTAAGTTGTCTAATTTCTGTCCTTCAGGGGCTCCTTTTGAGAACTGAATCCATAGAATTACCAACTAAAACAAAACATACGAACCATCCGTGACAGATGCTGTAGACTGATTCAAGCAGCTCCATCCACACCTCACAACTCCGGGTCTGCACACCACACGCCCACCGCCAGGCGGGAGTGCCGGCCGGAGCCTGGGAAGGCAGAAGTGTGGCCAGGCCTGTGCTTTGCCGCCGCCGCCATTTCTCCCGCTGAGCTCAGGGGTAAAGATACTTGGTTCTCCTGGGAGGGTGGTAGCAGAGATCCTGGGCCTAGACTCTAGTTCTGTGGGTGTCAGGGGGCAGGCGCGTGGCACCCCTTTTGCTGAGGTGGAGCACACGGGCCCCTGACGGGGTGATGTGGTCTGGGAGTCGGCAGGCGGGGCCGGTGGCCTCCAGGCTCCCCAGACGCCCGATCGCAGCAGAGACGCCGGAGTCGCGGCCGGCTGGTCCCCCCCCCCAACTTGGGGAGGTGTTCCCAGAAGCCCTGAGCAGCTCCACCAGTCCTCCCAGTGATTCCGTGAAGTCCTGAATCCCTGTATTAATTTCTTTTCTGCTTAAAATAGCTAAAGTGATTGCTAAACCTGCAAATAAGCCCTGACCTGACCGATGCAGTGTGATATGCTGATACCGCCACTTTGTGGAAAAAAAAAAAAATGTTTTAAGACCAAACAAAAAGAAGACCATAATCCTAAAGTAAAAAGACAGTTCCTTAAATTTTATTAGATCAGTCCTATTTCTCACTTTGATAATGAGAATTTCAACACTAGTGGGCTGTAAAGGAAGAAGTGAGTTCAGAAGAGGAATTAAAAGGGAAACCAGAAGAGCTGGCGGAGAGAGAGGCGTGGGGACATCGGGAACAGCCGTTCCAACTACTAAACCATCGTCAGGAGTAACCTGACCCTGACCCTGAGTTCAGGACTTTTAAACGCCACGAACAATATTATTTTGTGAGTTAACGGTCAAGGAAAGCTTTGATGAGGGGGAGTACTGGGCAGGAACCATACAGCCATGGCCCAGAAAATAATCTGAGCGCTATTAGTAATAGTTAAAGAGTTATCTGGTGTTTAAACCAATATGACGGGATTCAGGGGAAACAGCTCCTGAGAGGACAGAGAGGTGCTGCCCACTGTGGGTCCAGGAGCGCCTGTCTACTCTGCCGACGCCGCCCGCAGCTGCAGGGCCGCAGTGCTGAAGCTTGGCTGGCAAGGAAGTCTCCTGGCTCAAAGCTGGGCACAGGCCCTGGTGCCGGCGGCAGCAGTCGGTGATGTGTGTGTTGGCAGGAGGGCAGGGTGCGGGCTGGGCGGGGCGGGGAGTAGCGTCCAGCTGGTAGGGACAAGAAGGGGGATACGCCATGGTGGAACGCCACAGGCGGAAGCACTGGGTCACCTTCTGACCTGGTGATGTGAAGTGATGCTCTCTCCCCCCCTTTTCAAACAGGGTATAATGGAAATTTCCAAATGGACACAAAGCAGAGAGGAGAGCACCGTGGACGCCCATGGACCCACCATCACCAAGGACAGAGTCATCATCTCGTCAGCCCGGTGACTTTTAAGCTGTTTTAGCCTCTGATTCTCTGCTCGAATAAAAACTTGTGTATGTGTAGCTGAGTGAAATGATAAAATATTTACTTGTGTTTCCCCCCATTCCTTTAACCCATTTAGGCAGGTGTTAGGAGAACGAGCAATACCTGGGAGAAAAACGGTTTGCAGCGGAGGCATGAGAGGGGGAAGGAATTCCACTCATTTGCTAGGGCTGCAATACCATGACCTGAGTGGCTCAGGCAACAGGAATTCATTGCCTCACAGTTCTGGGGGCTGGAAGGGTTTTCCCAGGATAGAAGGTGGGCTAAGAACAAAGGTCCTGGAACAAGGAAGACCAAGGCAGAGGGGACATTGGTCAGCTTCCAGAAGGTACCCACGTCCCAAGAGCGGCACAAAATCAGTGGAGATACTTGGACCCACTGGCGACCCTGGGTAGAGAAGTGGTTTGTTGGTGGTGCACCTGTATCCCGGAAGTGAGACGCCACCTGAAAAGAGCATTTCAAGAATATTTGGGGTGAATATTTCATCTGCCTCCTGGAAATGGGTCCTGGGGGTTAAAAGTTGTTTTAGAAATTTAGAAAACAGAGGAATCGATATGTTCGGTACCTCTTGAGTTTGTCAGCTGAGAGTTATACCAGCCAAACATAAAACAGATAAAAGCAGGCCTGTTCTAGGTGGAGCTCCCTCCTGACCCTGGTTCCCCCTGCCCGAGGCGATCCAAGGAGTTTGGGGGTTCCAGGAAACTCAGTTTGAAAATACTTAGGGTTCACCTTCCCCCCTTATTGAACAGAGAGGCTAGAGGAAGAAAAGATCTGACCGTGAGTGGGTACAAGGCAGGCCGGCTGCAAAGCCGGACGAATCCAGGGCTCCCGATTTCCAGCAGAGCCTTTCCTGGTGGCTGCCCCAGAGACTCCCCGGACAGGCTGGCGCTCTTTCTTTGATCCACATCCAGTTCCTATCTGGGTAGGTGTCTCACTGGACAGCAGACAGCTGGGTGCTGGAGCTGCTCTGAGGTGGTCTGGAGTCAAGCCTTGGGACCCTGTCAGGTTTTTGCTTGTTTCAGCCACTGCCGCAGCTGTGCGGGGCCGTGGGTTCCTTCCACACATCCTCATTCATCTCCGAGGACATCTGTGCTTTCCAGCCTAAGGAGGCGTTCCAGATTCACCTTGTCCTTTTCCTACCCCTATCCCATGGAATTATATCTCTGAATAAGTGATTAATTCCTGGTGCCATGCTGAGTTTTATTAGCCCTTTTTGAAAGAAGAGGATTTGGGACTCATGGTGTGTTAAGGGGTAAACCATTGAAAAGGTACTTCTATAATGTAGGTTTGGTTATTCCGCAGTCAGATCACTGCCCAGACACTTGAATAACTTCCACATGAAGAAATAAATGGTCGAGACCTTCCTCCCTGAGCTTGTCTCCAGTGTCTTTTATTACATTCCTTTCTGCTTCAACTAGATTCTGTTCTCTGTAATCAACAACCCTCACCAATAGAGTGACTAATGCCAGGATGGTGGCGAGCCGCAGACTGTCCGGGAAATGCGAGTCTGGGATTGGACGTCTGAGCCAGCTGGGTTTGAAGACAACAGTGGCCCTGTTATCACTAGGCGACAGAACTGTGGAAGTCCGTACCACACACTGGCAAAACAGTTATCACCTGTTGTCACCTATGATGAAGGACAGAGTGGCGGCGGAGCTGAATCGCTGTGGTGGGATTTGTACGGGGGCATAAATAAGGAATACACAGCCTGGGGGGTGGGTTGGCTGCCTTCTCCTACACAGAGTGTTTCAGGAGAGAAAGAACCTCAGTTTTTTTCCTTCTTTTTAAAAAAATAGCTTCAGTAGAGTGTCAGATGAGCACTAGATTTATCAGGTTGGTCACTTCCTAAGTCACATACACTGTCTAATCACTACACTGTACACCTGAGACTAATATAATGTTATATGTCAACTATAATAGGAAAAGTTAAAAACATTTTTAAATGGCTTTATTGTCAATATAGCTATGTATATTGACAGACAATAAACAGCATATATTTAAAATGTACAGTTTATTATTTTTTAAAGATTTTATTCATTTATTTTTAGAGAGAGGAGAAAGGAGGGCGGAAGAGGGAGAGAGAAACATCAATGTGTGGTCGCCTCTCACACACCCCCACATCGGGGACCTGGTCTGCAACCCAGGCATGTGCCTTGACCAGGAATTGAACTGGTGACTCCCTTGTTCACAGGTTGGTGCTCGATCCATTGAGCCACACCATCCAAGGCCAGTTTGCTATTTTGATATTCACACAACCTGTGAAACCATCACAATCAAGACAATGAGCGTCCATTAACAACAAGTGTCCTTGTGTCCCTTTGCAATCCACCCCTCCTGCTCTTCCTTGCCTCACTGCCATTCCCGGCACCCACAGGTCTGCTTTCTTTCACTAGTGATTCATTTGTATTTGCCACAGCTTTTAAGAAATGGGATCATACAGTGTATACTCCCTTTTGTCTGGCTTCTTCCAGTCAGGATAATTATCATAGGCATTTGAGATTCATTCATATTGTTGGATGTATCAGTAATTCATCCCTTTTAATTTCTAAGTAGTATTCCATTATACGGATATACCAATTTTCTTTATGTATTCACTTGTTGATGACCATTTGGGTCATTTCTAGTTATGCAATAAATATTAGTACACAGGTCTTCATGTGGACGTATGGTTATAAGCTTTCATTTTTCTCGGGTAAATAGCTAGGAGTGAAATAGATGGATTATATGGCGTGTGTACGCTGAACCTTTTAAGAAACAGCCTGGCTGTTTCCCTGTGGTCGCACCCCCTTCCCTCCCCAGCAGCCGTGGCTGAGCTCCAGGTGCTCCGTGTCCTGTGCTCCGTGTCCCGTCCCACACTCGGGGTGGCCACTCCTTCATTGTAGCCGTTCTAGTAGGTTTGCAGCGGGATCCCATGATTTTAATTTGCTCTTTCCTGATGACTAATGATGCTGAACATCTTTTCATATCTTATGGGTTATCTATATATTTTTGCCCATTATTGGTGGTGTGTCTTTTTGAATCTATTGCTCATTTTTATTGTTTTTTTCTAATGATTGAGTTTAGAGTTCTTTCAGATGCTGCATACACATCCTTTACCAGATGTATCATTTGCGAATAGTTTCTTCCAGGCTGTGACCTGTATTTTCATTCATTTAACAGTGCCTTTTGAAGAGTTCTTCATTTTGATGAAATCCAATTTATTAAAAATATGTTAAAATAATTGAAAAATAATGAACTGTACCCGTGGTGTTATATCTTCTTATCATTTCAGGTTTCACATTTAGGTTTATGATAAATTTTGAGTTAATTTTTGTGTGTAGTATAAGGCAGGGGTCGGCAAACTTTCTCGAAAGGATCGAATAGTAAAGACTAAGGCTTTGTGAGCCATCCAGTCTCTGTCATAACTACTCAATTCTGTCATGTAGGGCAAAAGCAGGTGCAGACAATAAATAAATGAGTGTGGCTGTGTTTCAATAAAACTTTATTTATAAAAAAAAACAACAGACAGTGGCCACATTTGGCCTGCTGGCCAGAGTTTGCTGCCTCCTTTAAATCTGCAAACACTACTAAAACTCTACCAAAGGCAGCTCCATCCACCCTCAGATGTTGAGTCTGGTCCCTCCTTGCTTAAAAACCCCAAGAGTTCATCTGAGGTAAGTACCTTGAAAAAGAGTGATGATTTTTTTCATGCCCCGCTCCTTCACTCCTTCACTGGTTTCCGGCCTATTACCAGGGGCACGTTCCTTTGCCCCAGAGGACCACGTACAGAGTCCGCCTCGGACTCTGTGTCTGAGGTGTCCACGTGCCAGAATCTCAGGCGAACACAGCAAACCCTTTGATCATTCAACTTCTTCATCCTCTCTGCTCAACTTGGGGTTGACAAAAAAAAATAGTCAAGTTTGGGTCAAATTTTGCCCCTAATGCTGGATGATATTGATCAATCACTCTACTTCTTTCTTCCTCTGCATTCTCATCTGTGGTGAGAAAAAGAGATTTCTCCTAACACTATTAATGTGGTTGTGTGGACAAGAATAAGACAACGCATTTCTTACGCACCTGATTGGCTCCCTACCACACGACTCCGAAGCTGCCTTCTCCTTGAACAGTTTTAAAAGGCTGCTTTCTCTCTGTGTAAAAGCACTATACAAATGAAAGGTATTGTTACTATTTTCTCTTTTTAAGTAATTCTAGAAAGCCCAACCCAAGGATTTCACAATCTGTCACTGTCCCTTGGTGCCTCTGCCTGTTGCCAGGGAGAGAGATTATCCCAACTTGGGGAAGGTCAGCCAGCCCCGGCAGGATATCTCGCAGGGCTCGGCTTGCCACCCCCTGGTCACAGAGTCAAAGTCAGCGACACAGAGACTGACTAAGACCACTCCAAGGCAAACAGAGTGGCCACTGAAAAGAAAACCACACTCGGCACCACTCCACTCCTCACAGACCACTCTCATCACCACCGCGCCTGCAGGAGGGCCCCTCAGAACCCTGAGAGAGAGAAGGTCTCTGGGAACAGAGATTGTATCTGCATGGCCCTGGGGACCCTGCTTTGAACAGGGCAGAGAGGAAAGAGCGAACTCCCAGCCAACAAGGGGAGCTGGTGCACACCCGCACAGACACAGCCGTATTTATCACAGTCATCTATAAACACATGCAGGAGCCTGACACCCGGTGATGTTTCCCGTTCCACGCTAACCTCTTAAATGAACGGCTGCATTTCTTAAGAGCTAATTTGTTAATTCGCTATTATCAAGAATGACTTCCATCTCATGCAAGGGTAAACAATTTGAAAGGAATCTCACAACACTGTCTACGTTCTCATGGCAAGTCCTTAAGTGGGGTAGGAGGACACTGTTATCCTCGCCGGGGACTGCAGTTCAGGGTGGGGTCACTTGCTCCACCTCACTTAGCTGGAAAGTGGGAGAGCTGGCCTGGAGCCTGCAGGCATCTGACTGACTGCCAGCCCAGCACTCTTCCCCTCGGCCTTCCTTGTGCTGGATGGAAATGCTCTTCCACCAGGTGGGACGTGTCCGTAAGAAGGCACAGGGGGAAAGGGCAGGGGTGAGGTAACTGATGACCGATGACGGTGCAGGTGGTCCAGCCTACCAACAGGGATACAGCTCTTAGGGGCAAATGGGCACCTTCAGCCCCCAACTCCTAGCTTCTTACCTTACCACATTGCCCCCCAGGCTTATAAAACTGACACTTAGGGAGTGAGCACTGTGTTTTCTTTATTCTTTTAAAAAAGATTTTCTTTATTCATTTTTTTTAGAGGGAGAGGAAGGGAGGGAGAAAGACGGAGAGAAGCATAGGTGTGCGAGAGAAACATCCATTGGTTGCCTCTCCCGTGTCCCCAACCGGGGGCCTGGCCCGCAACCCAGGCACGTGCCCTGACGGGGAATCAAACAGGCAACTTTCTGTTTGCAGAATGATGATGCCCAACTCACTGAGCTACACTGTCCGGGCTTCTGTACAAAAGGATTCACCATAGAGAGCTTCAAACAATAAGCTCTCCCCAAAGGCATCTGAAATAGGATTCATACCATAAAAAATGGTATGTAAACACAGTTCGGGGAGACATCAGCCTGTTGTATCCAGTCTGTAAACACAGTCAATTGCACGTGCAGGTGGCCGCTGGGGTAATTTGACCCGGGGAGGGATAAAATGACCCCTGAAAAGTGTAGCAGTGCTGGTCTCCGCCCCTCTCCAGTGCGCAATAAAGCCAAGCATGTAAATACGTGCTTGGGGAAAGCCTGGCTTGAACTACCAAAGTTGAAGTTCAATGATGTTGTCTTCCAAGAAGGCTACCTTTGACTTTCTCTAATGAAAAATTAATAGGCACTTAACTTGCTGCTGCATTTAATTACATTTGCTGGAGACAAGTGCCTGCCAACCCGCACGGCTCTGGCCATCTTCTGTGCTGGATGTGCTGTGGGCAAAGCCCGTCGGTTTGGGGGAGAAAGGGCTCCGTTTGGGCCGAGCAGGAAGAGGCTGAAGAGGAAGAAACATCATGGGGTGGTCCCCACCCATCAGTGTGCACCTGGTGGAGAAGCTGCAGCAAACACACTGGGGTGGGACTCTAAACCTGTGGGCTGAGGACCTCAAAGAACCAAGGAGGTCTTGCTTACAAGGCCACTCAGTCCTGTCTGCAGGCCTAATAAGCAGGCTCCCTCCACAAATACAGAACCATTTTTCTAACATGTGTACTTATTACTGGAATTATTAATGTATTAATTCATTTAAATAAATCAGCACACTTTAGCTTTGTTACCATTTTTTTCTAACTAAAGGTACATATACACCACGTTGGGTACTTGAAAATTTTTCAACTTAAAAATAGGCCATCAGCCCTGACTCACGTGGCTCAGCCGGTCGGGTGTCACTGCAGAGCGGAAGGTTGCTGGTTCAATTCCTGACTTACAGGTTCCGTCCCTGATGCGGGAGCACAGGAGAAGCAACTGATCGATGCTTCTCTCTCATATTGACGTTTCTCTCTCTCTCTTCTTCCCTCCCTGCCCCTCTCTCTAAAAATAAATGATAAGGATCTTTTTTAAAACATGAGTCATCATACGGTAAAAGACTAGGAATTTAAAACTAGGGTATCCCTTCTGTAGCTGTAAAGCAGGATTACCGAAGGAATGTCTTTTTGGACCTCACATTTCCCCCATTTTTCAACAGCTTCATTAAGATATAACTTACATTCTGCAAAGTTTGTCCATTTAACGTGTCTAACTCAACAGTTTCCAGTACAGTTTCAGAGTCGTGGGGACGCACTGCAACCCTAGAATGGCTTTCCCCACCCCGGTGAACGCGTCAGCAGTTATTGCCCACCCCAACCCGTCTCTCAGCTCTAGACAACCACCGATCAGTTTTTGTCCTACAGATCTGTGTCTTTTGGACATTTAACATAAATAGAATCATACGATGCACGGTCTTTTGTGGCTAGAGGAATGTCCTGACCCCCATGTCAGGGGGGTCACGCAGTCTCTGTCTATCTAACCCCCATGTGTACATTAGGGTTCCTCTCAGCCCTCCCAGAAGCCTTTCTCTATCCCCTGGTGTATAGGGATCGTTTCCTCCCATTGGCTCACAGCCTCTCGTTCGGAGCGCTGCGGAGGCGGTAGGCGGAGGCTGTGAGGCCCAGCCCTGCCATCTCCTGCTCCTTCAGTGGGTTCCTCACCTCTCACTGCTTGGGGGCAGCATCTTGCTCGAATTTTTGGGGGGGCTTCCCCTACTCAACTGTGCCCAGCATAGTTTTGTACTTGAAATGGTAATCAATAGTTTATGTGTGCTGAAAGAGTAGATGACTCATGGAGATGTTCCCAGACTCTTCTGAAGAAAAAAGGCTCAGGAGTAAGTAGAAGAAAGAAAGCAAGATCAAGAACAGAAACAAAGACCAAGCAAGGAGTGTGGGCCTTGGAGTCCAGCCTGCCCAGCAGCTGCCATCTGTGTTGGGACCAGCGGGCGTTCAGAGGCGCTGGGCGGAGAAGGGTCTCCCATTCACCTCCAGCAGCAATCCAAAGAACAGATTAGTCACTCCTTTTGCTGACGGCATTAACCGCCTCCATTAAAATGCAAATGTCAGCACCAGGGAGAGTGGCAGATCCAGCTATTATCAGCCACTTGCACAGCAGCTACCATCGGAGCTCTTTGAATACTGTATTTCCTGCTCTCTGAGGCCCAGGGGTGTCTGGTGGTGAGCATAGGGTCTGAAAAAACCTAGGGCCAGGTTCCCTGTGGCCGCCTGCAAACTTCTTAGCATCCTTGATTTCCAAGCCAAGGAAGCCCGAGGTAAAGAGTAAGAGGGCTGCTGGCCTCGGCTTCTCTGCAGAGCTCCTGGTGGATGAAGGGCTGGAGGTGCAGTGGGGGATCGCTCCCAGGGACCTGGCTGCCTGCACCCAATGGCTAACACACTGGGCCCCAAGCCTCCACGGAGGACCCACCCCCGGGACACTCAGCGCTCCATGCTGTTGGCTACCCTCTGACCTGAGGATAACAGTTCAGTTAGTTTTGTCCTGGGAAAGGTAAATCATCTAGTTTGAAGCATGGGTCTTCATCTCAAAATGCAAATGTTCAGGGTAGGTTAGCACACTTTGGGGACTGGGTTGTTCTCTGAGATTCTTTCACCCTCCAGAGAGCCTAGGCTTCTTAGAGTTCCTTAATTCTTAATTCTTGGCGAATAACTCACTACGGGGCTGGGCTGTCCTAGGCGCTGGGCAAAGTTCATTTTTGATCCTCAGGTCTTAACTGGCTTTCATTTCCTCCCTCTTCTGCTCCAGGCCACTGGTGCCCTTTTCTGGCCCCATTTGCCCTGGGAAATGGGCGGTGGTGCCAAGCGTTTTCTTCCTCTGCTCCCTTACACACCCCTCCTCCTAAACAGGAAGCATCCATCAGAGCTCTTAGTGCCCCCGACCTTGGTTGGATGTCAGTGGGAGAAGCCTGTTGATCAAACTATTTCACATAGATTTGATAATGACCAGCAAGGCCTAGCATAAGTCTTTCGATCTCCGGGGGGTATCCATATTCATTTTTCAACCAGTTTATTGAAATATAATGTACATACCGTAACGTTCACCCAGTATTCAGTGAGACTCAGTGGTTTTTACTGCATTTATTGAGATGTGCAATCACCATTATAATTTAATTTTGGAACATTTTCCTGACCCCCAAAAGAAATCCTGGGCCCATTTAGACATCACCTCCATTCCTCCCCCTCCCCAGACCCAGGGAGCCATCAGTCTTCCTTCTGTCTGATTTTCCACAACCATTTTTAGGGAATGAGTGTCATTGCAAAGCATGACTATCTCAGGGTGAAATTTTAAGCAATGTGGGGAAGGTATTTTTAAGTAGGGGAGTATTACTGATACCCACTTCTACAAATATTTCTAAATATTCTAAAATAGTACTATGCTGATTTCAAAAATAGAAATATTCTTCCGAAAAGAAGTCTGGAGAGTGAATAAAGAATGAAGTCCTAAAAGTAGCCAAGGCACAAGCGGAAGATGGCTGGAAAAGTTAAGGGTATCTGCAGATCTCAAAAAAAAAAAAAGGCCAGTTGTGTCCTGGGGGGGGGGGTGTGCAACCATCTGGCCTCTGCGAACAGAGAGCCCCCCTTCCACAGGGCAGCCTGCGGGGGTCCCTGGGTCAGCCCCCACCCGATGACAGCAGCCAGGCAGGCGCACACACATCCTGGAGTCGGTCTCCTCCACCCCTGCCTTTTGTTCCTGTGGCCGCCAACTCTTTCTTGGTTTTCTTCTGACCTTGAGGACTCCTCTCCTCTACAGGGCGGTCCTGGGTTTCCTGCCCCGCCCGCCACAGGTCTCCTCCACCCAATGGCACCACTCTCGTCACCAGTGTCACTTTGGGTTCTACCTACACCTGCTCTGCAGTAGCTTGCTGACTGGTCCCCTACCTTTTGGGTCTTGCTTTTCCAATCTAGTTACATCGTTGCCGGAGTTTGCTTCCTAAAATGTAATGGGCCACAACACTCCTGTCCCCAAATCCAGGGGCTCTTCACTGCCTTCAGACTGAAGTGCACCTGCTTCTACACAGCATTCAAGAGCCCAACCCACCTTTCTCCTCCACCCACCTTGCAGGCCCCCCCTCTCCCTCACATGCCTCAGACTCCTTCCGCTCACTATTCCCCATATGCACCTATTGTTTACCCAGCAAACAACTACCAGGTACCTCCTATGTGCCAGGCACCAGGCTAAGCAATGGCACAAGAATGACTAAGACATTAACTCTGCCCTCAAGGAGCTCTGACTGTTGAGACAGTTCTGAAAACCAGTCAAAATAATGAATGTGACAAGCACTGGAATAGAGATAAAAAGCAAGGTGTGCTGGGAGCTGAGGGGGAGGGGCGGAGGAGGGGAAGCACATTACAGAGGGCTCAGAGAGGGGAAGAACATTACAGAGGGCTCAGAGAGGTGCTATAGATGTGGCCTGTGTTCGCGTGCGCCCGTGTGTGTGCGTGTGTGTGCGCGTGTTTGTGTGTGGGGTGGTGGTGGTGGGAGGAGAGGGTAATCTCTGCCAAGGTGCAAAGTGCAGTTCAGGGTGGGTCTGACGACTTGGAGAAATGGTGAGCAGTGGAAGCTGGCACGTAGAAAGAGGGTGTTTGGGGACAGTTTTCACTAGAGTGTGTGACACTGATGATCCGATCGGAAAAAAGTGGAGGAGGGAAGAGGAGGGAGAGTTGGTCAACTGTCCAGGCAAGGAGGGGAGGAGTAGGATCAGGGTAATAGCCCGAGAATGTAGAAGGGACAGAGGTGAAAAAACAGGGGCAAGGACAGGAGGGGAGGGGGGATCGCCACTGTAATGTAGGGGAGTTTCCAGAGTGGCAACTCCCTCAGTGGGGAGAACACAGGGAGGGGCAAGCTTGTCGTAGATGACCATAGTTTGAGAAAAACGGAATCTGGGGATCTGGTGGGTATCAAAGGGCATCCGTGGAGCGCTCTCCAGTGGATGGGGGTGGGGGGAAGCTTAGAACTGGGAAGGGAGGCAGGGATGGAAGGTTCAGAGTTTAGAAATAAGTTAGAGGAGAAAAATTTGTTTAGCCTTTGACCCAGCAATTCTTAGGAATTTCTCCTAAGGATATAATTAAAGATGCGTGTGAAGATTTATCTACAAAAATGCTCATTGTTCAGAACAGTAAAAGAGTGGAAACTTTTGATAAACTGTTTTGATAGTGAAAAATACCAGTAAAAATAGTGAAAAATAACAGTAGGGGATTGGTTAAATAAATGATACTATATTCTTGCAATGGAATTCTGTTCAGACAATAAAGTGAATATTGTAGATGAATGTTTATTGACACGAAAAAATATACAATTCTACTTAACAATTTCTGTTAAGTAGAAAAAAGCAGATTCTAAAACTACTAGTAGAGTAACATCCCACTTTTTGTCTAAGGAAAAAAATTAAGATGTTGATAGTTTTTCTCCATGGTATGATTTTGAATGCTTTTCTTTTTTTACTTTTCCCACATTTAATCACACATGGTTTTTGATAAAACATAATAGTTATTTAAAAAATTGAGTAAAATGAAAAGGAATGACCTACAGAGGGCACAGGGATGGAGAAGGTTCAAGGGTGGGGCCCGGGCACCTTGATGCATCAGTCCCTGCAGCTGCCTGTCCGAGCGCCCCTCCCCCAGCATATCTGCTGCACTGCTACCTGGGGGAGTTCGGGAGGCAGGCTGCCAACCATGAGCCTTGGGCAAAGTTTTTGATTCTCTAATTCTGTTTTCTCATCTTCAGAGTGAGGAGAATAACATCTTCCTCAAAATGGTTACTTGACAATAAAATATTTAGACACACAGTAGTTGCTTGATAAATATTAGTCCGTCTTCCCTTTTTTCTTATTTGTTCTTCGTTGCTCACCCCAAGTTTGACCTCCAGTCTTTTTTGGCCCTCACAGTGGGAATTAATGCCTCTTCTCTCTGAACCCCTGAAATGCTTTATTTGAACCTCTACTGAACACTGACTGAATTGTGCTCTGAACTGAGTTAGTGGCCAGC